TGGGAATTAGGGGTGAGTCTTCCTTTTAATTTTTAGTTAATATTTACCACAGTCTCCTCTTTCTACACTGTAATAACTGTATGTGTTATATTCAATACATTTAAGATACTTGCATAGTATGGAAGGTTTGTGAAATTTTCAACTGCATCAATTAATAGTCACCAGATATATTGTTGAGGAAAAATAATTTATTCGTAACAGTTGTAGATTTTGCACCCTAAAAGCTATCGCAGTGCTTTATTACTATTCGTCTATTTAGACTACCTTATAATAAAAATAACAAAAATATGCGAAAACAATCCTTTATACTTATTTAACTATAATACAATAATCTGTTTACATACAATAATTTAAGCTGCCTTTTAAAGTTTACTAAGTTAGCCTCTTTTAAATCTTTACTCCTACCTTTTTACCAATCTCTCTCTCGACATACTCAATATGATCATTAACTTGCAAGTTGTCGTTAACTAAGTATTTGTTTGTACTTAGATACTAATTCTATTAAGTTATTTTCTATTTTTACGACTATTTCATTCTTCAATTCAGTTTTATCTGGTCCTATTTACATTACTTTCGTTTTCTGTGTATTGAGTTTTAATCTATTGTAGTCGAGAGCCAATTGTTGACGCTTTCTATTAAGTACTCTTTATATATTGTTTCTTGAATGTTTGTTTTATCTTTGCTTGAATGGTATTTTATTGTATCGTCTGCAAACATATGAATTTTGAAGGGATTTAATGCGTTTCCTATATCATTAATATATAAGATAAATAATAATGGTTATTTATGGGCTTGTGGAATACACCTCAATATAACAAGCTATCAATTGCAATCGAGTGTTTCAGTTTCTCTTTAAGAATTTTGTAAAGTTACTCTAAAAAAGTATTCTAAGTACAAACTTTATATTAAGTAGTATTAGCTTAAATACAATTATAAAATGTTCAGTATCGCTGTATGTTGTAAGAGTTAAGAAAATGTTTTAATGTCATCTTGGTGGGCTGTCAAATACAATGGAAAGTTAAAATGGATAGTAAATAAAACGAAGAAAAAGGCAGAAAATTCCTTTAAAGTTATGTAAAGTAAAAGAGCAAGTTAGATATAACGGTAATCTCTTTTAAAAATTTCCCAGAAATCAAACAGAAAATCCAATTATTTTTACAATATTGAATTGGCTACCCTGAAAACGTTTCTATTTTTTAAAGTACTGTAGCGGTAAAACACCTTTAAATTAATTTTTATATTCATTTTTGTTGAATTTTTATTATTATTATTGTTTTGTAAATATTCTTCTAAACCTATTTGTAGACTTACAACTTCTTATCTTGTTAAAAAATTAAAAGGAATACTCACCCCTAATTACCACAAATAAATTTTATATGAGCGGACACGTGTTTCGCCCACTTCACACGTGGGCATTATCAACGCGAGACTCTTTTTACTAACAATTCAGCTATATATAAACCCCTAAATTTCCATACTCACTATTCTTATTCCCTTCCCCCCTACCAAACAAAATACCCAGAGATTGTTCAAATGACCATTTGTTCTATTAACAAAAGATTTTAAGAAGGTCGAAAAACAAGGCAACAGGTTGACAGAAATAAATATCGTAGTCCCACTACATATTACTATTTATCCCATAAGCACGAATTATCGTACGTTTAATAGAAATTTGAATTACGATATTGTACATCGTATTTGATGTAAAATTATCGTATGTCCCCATAATTATCGTACAGGTTGGCAACGCTGGCTGGTAGGAAACAAGAAATTATCACAACAGCATGCAACTTGTTGTTGTGCTGTGTAATTCTTTTACGATAACTTACGAAGTAGTAGAAAATCGCCCGATTTTAATGCCGTTATTCAATCATCGTCTCTATTTCTGTACTACTATTAAGAAAGAAAGATATACGGTCAGTATTTTGAATAAATTCTGTCTACCTTATATTGTACGGATTACGTCCTACAAATTGTGGAATTCTACTACCTACTGACCTGTTATAATGTCGCTTTAATTAATACATATGTATAATAACGTTAATTAACGAAGAATTATTTTTAGAACGTTCCAATTTCCTTTCACGGTGGTATTTTACCGATAAGTCTTATCGAAATTTTGTTATTTCCTGAAAAGAAACATACACACGAAACCATCAACGTTAAGATTTTGATTATAGAAGAACAAGGTTAACTTGCTTATTTATGTCAATAAAACTTTTTAAAAATAATATAAATAATAAACTGGCTCTTTACGTCATTTTATATACTTATTGTGTTATCAATTAGTGGTTTTACAGATAGATATATACCAGGTAACTGCGGGTAGTCCACATAATTGTATATTATAATTCTCAACAGGGACAACTATAATTCTACAGAATAAATTTTTAGGAAAAATAATTTGCTGAATTTAAGACTTTTACGAATTTCTAACCTACCACTGTAAAGTACTAATAAACTTCATAAGAAGGCGTTAACAAAAATGCTAATTTTTGTGAAATTGGACCTTTGAATGAATAACTCGTTTACCTACCTATATCATAGCTATTTGAAATGTGCATTGAATATATAAACACTTACGATTATTGTGAGATGCACGGCTGTTGCAAAATTATTTATCTAATTTGGTCGAATAAAAACAAAATAGAAAACAATTTCATGTTCATTATTGCGATGTTCTCCATGAAGAATAACGATAACCACAGGCAGTGGAGTAACAATAGGGTGACAGAATGGGAAAAATGCCACGAGCCTCCAGTCTGAGGGAACCCTGGCCTGGGAGACCGTGAGGACAAGAGGAACCTAACATTTATTACAAAATTTGATTTGATAATTATCTAAAAGTACAGCTTTTTACTATTAAAGAAAGGCCCCATCCGATCAATTTACTACAGGCCTTGTTTGCAACAAATTCCTAGAAATCCCATGCGGATGCAGTCACTGGAGTGTGTCACCAATGATACAAAGAGTTTTTTATTTTTCTACATCTACACAGTTATACTCTGAGTACTATACGAAAGTGTCTGTATTTCTTTATCATTCGGATATAATGACTTCCGGATATAACGAAATTACAGTGGTCCGTTCATTGTCGTTATACCCGAAATCCACTGTAGTTACTATACTAATTCTCTACCTAGAGCATAGAGTGAGCTAGTAAACGCTATTATTTTGAATACTTCAGTTTGTATTATTCAAAATATTTAAATAAATTAATTAGTTAATCTACTAGTTGATTATTTTTTAACTATCCAAAACGAATAAGCTGTTTTTTGTACATTTATATATTTATTAAATGGATGTCTCCAAACTTATTTGGACAATCTCCGGACTTTCCATATAAAATCTTGAGTTGATAATCCTAACCACAGAAATTATTGCAATTGTACTTAAAGGCAAGTTTAGAATTGGAGGGTTATGAACAGAGCACAAGTTATACATTATTTTTATTTTTCGAAACAATTATTTACGATGAATTTAGCCAAAATAAGAGTCGATCTCGCCAGATCCAGACTAATACCAAGACCAAATTATAGGGTTGTTCGGAAAGTCATTTCGTTTTTTCCCGACAGAGGATTTAATTGTATTCTTTTGCACCCAACTTCACATTTAAGCCGTATAATTTTTATATGCTTTGAGAGCTCATATAGCAAGGCTTGTGTGTGAAAAATTTCAATTACGCAGTAGTTTTTAGTTGGTGCCCTTTTAAATATGGAGAGCGATAAGCAGCATTTTCGACATATCTTACTGTTTTACTACAGAAAGGGTAAAAATGCAGTTCAAGCCAGAAAGAATTGACTGATGTGTATGGAGAAGGTGTGTTGACAGTACGCCAGTGCCAGAACTGGTTCGCTAAATTTCGATCCGGCAATTTTGATGTCGAAGATGATAAAGACGCGATAAAGGCATTAGTTGATGTGAACCGGCGAATAACAACACGTGAGATCGGATTGAGGTTAAATTTATCAAATTCAATAGTTTATGACCACTTGAAAGGTCTGGGATTATCCTCGAAGCTCGATGTATGGGTTCCCCATGTTCTCACAGAGAGAAATCTGTGTCGTCGCATTGACGTCTGCGATTCGCTTCTCAAACGTCACGAAAATGATCCGTTTTTGAAGCGCATCATCACTGGGGACGAAAAATGGGTTGTATACAACAACGTCAAACGCAAGAGGTCATGGAGCAAAAAAGATGAACCGGCTCAAACCATTTCCAAAGCCGATATTCACCAAAAAAAGGTGATGCTGTCTGTTTGGTGGGATTTTAAAGGAATCGTTTTTTTTTGAGCTTTTACCGGATAACACAACGATTAATTCGGAAGTCTAGTGTCATCAGCTGGATAAACTGAATGATGCACTTCAACAGAAAAGGTCAGAACTAATCAACAGGAAAGGTGTAGTGTTTCACCAAGACAACGCGAGACCTCACACAAGTTTGGTCACTCGCCAAAAGCTTTTACAGCTTGAGTGGGATACAATGCTACACCCACCGTATTCTCCAGACCTGGCACCATCGGATTATTATTTGTTCCGGTCACTCCAAAATTTTTTAGACGGTAAAACCTTCACCTCAAATGAGGAGGTCAAAAACCTCCTCGATCAGTTTTTTGCCAGCAAAGACCAAAAATTTTATGATCGTGGAATTATGCTACTACCAGAAAGATGACAAAAGGTGTTGGACCAGAACGGTCAATATATAATTTAATAAAGTATTTGTTTATTATACGAAAACTGTCTTTCATTTCCACAAAAAAAACGAAATGACTTTCCGAACAACCCTTAATATATAGGCAAAGATTAACACCGAGACTATATCTTTTTGATTTGTATGGATTTTTCCGGTATGTTGCAATTGAAACTCGGACAGAAGTGATTATTTTATGATCACTGACGAAAATTTGAGAATTTTTAAATATTTGAGATCCGTTGTTATGTTTGTGTATTCTTTTGTTTTTAATTTAGTTACAGCTGTATAACAAAAATTGTTTGACTCACTCACTACTGTGATTTTCCGCATTTCACTTTCACGGTTTTGTTGTACGTTCCCCAGAACAATGCCATTCGATGCGTCATTATTTGTGTCGGTGTTGTTTTCGTCGTCGACCTTCCCCGTTGTGGTTTTCCCTTTGTTTGCCATGTTCACCCTGTCTGAGCTGGTATTATGTTAATCGCACAACACATATTGTTCTACATAGTAAAATGAAGGCAACGTTCTCTGCACGATTTACGTTACCGATAAAGCCCTCGATGTGTAATCGCAGAGGCGACCGCAAAGAATTATATAGGACCACCGCATTCAATCAGAAGGTTTTCTGGAATAAGTAGTAGCTTATACTGTTCGCATAACAACAAAAATATATTCATAAACACGATGTATTTATACGCAGAGATTGGTACAAAACAAACCGCGATCTGTTTTTGTTTTGTATATATATATATATATGTATATAGCGCTAGACATGAGCTAACATAGCAATTACAGCCCATTTCAATTTGTTTGAATTGTGACCTTGAAGAAATCTGCGAAGATAGAAAGAATACACACTAGCCGTGAGCAAGACAGAAATAGTTGGAACAAGCTTGAACGAGCAGAGCTCTCGATGGGCGGTCTTAGGAGATCGGCTAGAACTGTACAGTACTAGACGAAAATGTTTAGCAATTTCTTAAAACAAATATGTATAAAAATTAACAATAGAAACCAAAGCAAAAGTTTTATAGATGTGTAGAACGTTAAGTTAATTCACTTGTTATTATTTTTGGCAAATATGCTTTCAAATAAAGCATATTCTAAAATTTTAACGAGGCAATTTAAATAATTTTGCAAATGGTACTGTACACTTTTGTCTAGCTCTCGCTCGATGGTCGGTAGAGAAATGAGCTCCGCAGACAAATATGATTGAATTTGGAATTATGCTACGGCGCATCCTAATAAAGGGAAGGGGCATATCTCAAACTTCTTGAAACGATCAGTAATCATTGTTATGGTTGAGAAGCTCAAAATTGGCATAGTCCACAATAAAACTGTCGCATTTACTTTCTTCTTTCAACTTACTAACTAGACTAGAGCGGTTACTGACCCAACGCCTACTTTATCGGGAATATCGTAAACATAGAAAAGAGATGTCAGGTAGGAATTGCCACGGACACTAATACAGAGAAAGGACTAAGATTACACCAGTTGATGAGTTGCAGAAAGAGATGCAGACAAGCAGAATTTGAGCATGTTGCTTGCATTGGACTTTAAAGAAAGTTCAACATTCTAAGAAATTTAGGAAAGCAAAAATGCCTATTTAAAGATATAATTCCAACCAGGTAGTTATAAAGATGACCCTGATTTTTTACTTATCTAAGCAACCTATATCCGCTGCACAGCTTACTGTTATTCGGTTATCTCTTTTCACTTTGTCTGTACTACTCAGAAGCATTTCCTAACTTGACTAGGGCGTGTTCAAAATGCAGAAAATGACTACAGTCCCAAGGGAAAACAATAAAAAAGAAGAAATGTTCATTTTAACAGATACATTATTGCGGACTATGTCAATTTTGATCTTCTTAACTATACTATGCAAAATAGAAAGAGAGTTGGCTAAATGGGGAATGTAGTAGGCTTGAAGGAGGGGGGGGGGGGGCAGATAAAAGATGAATTGTAGTTTGTAGGGTAACTAAAAGAAATGAAAATTTTCTTCTTTTTGTGTAATTATTTGTTTACATAACATATAAGTAATGTACTTACTTTGTTTTGTATTGAAATTAGATCAGAATTAAATTTTCAGAATATTTACAGTTTCAAACCTAGGCAATAATAACTTGATGATTGAAAATTTTTAATTGAGCTACTACTGAGCACAATTAAAACATTAAATTCACATTCGTCCATACGAGAAGGGAAATCAATATAAAAATACTCAGTTTTTTTGGTCACTCTATTGTAGGTAAAATAAATCGTTTATTACAAAGGAAAACATGTCTTGTAACTATTGTTCACGCATGTTTTATCATGAGAAATATGCGACTTTTACGGATAAAAGCAAAACGATTTCTTTCTGCAGAATTTTATAAATTTTTTATCAGAACAAAAATCATGGTATTTTTGCGACAAAAGTTTGAGTTGCTATGGGAGGGGCAGTTTTTTTAATTTTTATTCGACTTAATGAAGTTAATATCTGAGTAGAAGGGGTGGTACACAGAGGTATCAAAATCAAATCAGATCTATCACAAAAACGACTTTCGTAAGTCAGAAAAGTAATTTCTAATACGTAATATTAAAATTCCAGTAAATGTCTAGATGATGGGATTGAAAGAGGAGGTTTCCCCCACCACTGTACCATAAAAAGTTCGTGGCAGTCTCACCCCCATAAAAAGTTATGGGGGTAGATGATGGCCCCACACCCCCTTCGGGGTGGGGGTGGCTGTAGGTGGGATCGAAAGTGGGTGGTCACCTGAGTAAAACCCCATAAATAAATTGCGGTGGTCTCACCACCATAAAAAGTTATGGGGCTTGAAAGTTGTGGTTGTTTAACAACTGACTGGTTTTATAAAATGTATTGACGTCTCTGACAGATTTCGAAACCAAAATGTTTACATCTATTAGTAATTTTAAGAGTCGTGTTAGGTTCTCGAGTTTCCTGTTAAAAAACAATTTGGCACGTAGAGTAGTGAATGATTATGTAGTTACAAATATTAATATAATATGAAATACTTTTAATAATACTACAAGCTTTTAATAGCATCACAAATTACCCCAAATTACCGGCAGGGTGTGACAACAGCAACAAAAATTTTTCGTCCCACCTGAGGTAGTTGGTTGAAAATTGAAAATGAATTTTGAAATTAATATTTAATGTAAAGAATTTTAGAAATAGCTTTCCGTAAATCCATAATAAATTTTCAGTAAAAAAACCTTAGCAGTTTATGTGTTGGTTTATGTCAAACATATGAATAGTGTTGAATTTATCTATTTATTATCTGCAATGTAAAGAATTCTAGCCACAATTTTCCGTAAATCCATAATAAATTTTCACTAACAAAACCTCAACAGTTTTCGTGTTTGTTTATGCCAAACAAATGAATGCACAGAAAGCAGGTTATCAGACACGTGTAACTAACATCCTTTTTTTATTTATTTCGAGTTGTAGTTTCCCTATGTAGGTTTCTGTTTGTTTACTAAATGAATTATGAAATAAACTCGTTTATTTGAATTTTTGTTGATCAATAACATGATAGACAGGTTATGGAAAATGTTTTTTCACTTTTTCTTTGTACAAAATTTTCATTATACTCTTCACAATGGACCGTTCTGCTACGTTTATTGAATTCGAGAGTGTATAGGACGTATTCACCCCACCCGCCGAGCCGCCATGAAATAAATGCTAATTTTTCAATATCAATTCAAACAACAATTCAAGAACAAACATGAATCTAAACTGCATTTTAGGCGTATTCAATAACAACATTAATTGGTCATTTATTGGATATTGCAACCGTAAGTTACAACTTCGCTGACCAAAATCGGTCATTTCGAGACGAGAACAGAGACAACTGACTACTGAAAGTATAGTACATTACGTATCGAGGGAAGAAACAGAGTTATTTCAGACATGCAGTCTGAGACAACCCTGTTTCTTCCCGACGTACGTATACTATTTATGTTTGTGCGGAAAGCTCGTCATTAAATTGATAGTTGGCGAAATAAGAGTAAATGATTTAGAGGTTAGAAAGACATTGTCATTGAATAACTGATTTCTGCGCATGCCCATAAACTTCAGCGCATGCGCTCAAAAGACTAATTTCATTTCCTCCCGACTAAAACACGGCTAAAAAGAGGCCATTTCTTCCCTATTTAATAGCATGCAAAACGAGCTTTCCGCGCTAACATGACAAAAAATAAGTTTTATACGATTCTGTTGTGTGCGGACCACGGTAAATTGCTTCCTTGCTTGGTAAGGAACTATGTATATAACAGCGAAGTACTCGATTTTCTCCGTATTTCATAATGTGTTCCCTATTGACTTGTTTCGCCGACGATAGTTCAAAGACTACTGACCTAATTACGATAAAACTTGATATTTATGCTAATAATGACTTGCTTAATTCATAATGACTCGAGTAAGTACCCTTACTAATGACCTACCTACCCATTCCGCGAACTTAAAAACGCACCCTAGTAAGTTGTGCTAGGTGGTTTGTTGTGCATTAAGGAAGCGTGCATCCAATTTAATGAGTAAGGAAGGAGATTTGATTTTCGAATTGTATTTGATAACTGATTGTGCCAAAATTGATGCACAGTCGTTATCGCACAACAGACCACTGCATTTTCTATCCTTTATTAGTAGTGTTACTTTCCAGACTCATTCACTTCCGGTTAAGTTATTGTTCCCATCTCTAGTCTTCTTGGATTTGACGTTTGAAGATTTGTTTAAAAAATGCTTGTTTAAATTTTTTTGTATGTGTGCATGTCAGACTGAATAGGAGAACAGAGGACTTTATGGAAGTCAATAAAAAATAGGCGAGATAGGTTAGAAGGACACCTTCTCAGACATGAAGGTCTAGTCAGAGACATATTAGAGGCAGAAGCAGTAGTTAGGAGGGGAAGAGATAGACCTAGGTTAGATTACTGTTCGGTACGGTGGAGGTACGCGTCCAACCAGCCTTAGGATTGACGATCTTATGATGATGATGTCAGATTCAATATTTAATTAACGCTTAAAAATTTATTTTACTTTATTTCAAACTTGATTTCGAATTTCCCATCTGGCCAAAAATGATGATGTGAGTCTAGGCTCACATATTATTAGCAAATGTCAGTGAAGAATGTGACGTATTAAAACAGTTCAATAAAGACATACTTCCTTTAACGTAATTCTCATAGTATATAGGTCATATAATATTGTACAAGTGTAGTTTAGCAAGAAGTAAATGCATACCGCAAAACTTGGAAGGCTTCACCTACGGAGTACTAAAACACGACGGTTTAAGGAAATTGAAACCAAAATTCCTCCCGACGGCAAAACCACCAACAACTTGCACGCAACTATTCCAGAAAGTATTCTCGTTTGTCTTGTGTGTCTTTGGCGGGTCTGCTGTTGAATTTCAAACAGAGTTTTATGGAACAACAAACTTCAAACCGCACGCCAAACTCGTTCAGTTTCGGTATGTTGTGTTCAGGCTATGATTGCTTCACCAAGAAACAAATTGTTCGTGTAACTTGAAGAATGTTTAGGTTGTGGAACTCAAACGAAAATCAAAATGATGCTACGCTACATATCTACACATTTCCAATACTTTTATTCTTTGCCCTT